GGTGTTGGGCCCCGCGTCCACTCCTCCTCCTTCCTCCTCCTCCCCCTCCCTCTCATCATCATCATCATCATCATCATCATCATCATCATCATCATCATCATCATCATCATCATCATCATCATCATCATCATCATCATCATCATCATCATCATCATCATCATCATCATCATCAATCATCATCATCATCATCATCATCATAATCATTCATCGCATCGTCAATCAGTCATCGTTATCATCATCATCATCCAATCCTCGTCCTCATCCTCATCCCATCCTCATCATCAGCATCAGCATCAGCATCCTCATCCTCATCTCATCACCATCACCATCACCATCACCATCATCATCATCATATCACATCATCATCATCATCATAATCATCATTCATCATCATCACCATCATTCATCATCATCATCATCATCATCGCATCAGCAGCATCAGCATCCTCATCCTCATCTCATTCCTCATCCTCATCCTTCTCCTCCTCTATCCTCTACTCCTCCTCCTCCTCCTCCTCCTCCTCCTCATCCTCATCCTCATCCTCATCATCATCATCATCATCATCATCATCATCATCATCATCATCATCATCATCAACATCAACATCGTCATCATCACCGTCATCGTCGTTGTGGCGTAGTGCATAGGAAGCCGCTTTGGAGAGCCGCCTCGTGGCCCCACAGGGAGCCCCACCGAAGGCCCCCGTGGCAGGGTCCGCACGCGGTTCCACCCCCATTTCGGCACACCCCTCGCACGTTCCGTGGCCCCAGAGTGAGCCCCACCGAGGGCCCCAGTGGCAGGGTCCGCATGCGGTTCCACCCCCATTTCGGCGCACCCCTCACACGTTTCGTGGACCCATAGTGAACCCCCTCCGAAAGCCCCAGTGGCAGGGTCCGCATGCAGTTCCACACCATGTCGGCGCACCCCTTCCACGTTTCGTGGCCCCATAGGGTGCCCCACCGAAGGCCCCAGTGGCAGGGTCCGCGTGCGGTTCCACTCCCATTTCGGCACGCCCCTCGCACGTTCCGTGGCCCCATAGTGAGCCCCGCTAAAGGCCCCAGTGGCAGGGTCCGCATGCGGTTCCACCCCCGTTTCGGCACACCTCTCACACGTTTCGTGGCTCCATAATTGGTGCTCCGCCGGAGGCCCCAGTGGCAGGGTCCGCGTGCGGTTCCACCCCCATTTCGGCACACCCCTCACACGCTTCGTGGCCCCATGGGGGGCTCCCGAGGGCCCTACTGGATGGGTTCACACGGCGGCGCCTTGTCGATTTCGGGGCGCCCCTCGCGCAGATCGCGCCATCGATGGGGGCGTCACATATGCCTCCTGCGGACGGAGGCCCCCGGAGATCTCCGGGCTGTTCGGATCAGGACGAGGGACCAGGAGGACAAACAAATACGATGATGAGGAGGGGGAGGATGAAGCTCAAGGGGGCGAGCAGGCCGCGCCTCCGCACCACGATAGAAGGGCACAAGCAGGAGGTAGAGGGCATGGTTCTCCTCCTCTCCGTCCAACTCCCTTCCAGTGCTGCGTTTGCCTCTTCCCCCGTCCTCCTGTTTTTCCTCCTTCTCGTCACGTTCGCCCGAATAGTGGGATGTATATAACAATCGAATCCATTTGCGTTGAAGCCATCCGCTGCAAATAATCTGAACCACCGCGGCGGTGGCCTGGCCCCGCCCGGTGTCTAAGATTACTGAGCGAGGGGTGTCCTGAGAGGCATGGTCTTGAAACGGGACGGACTCGACAAGTCATACACATCGATGTCTTTTGTGTTGCGAACGTGACAATATCATTTCGAGTCGTTGTCGTCGTCGCCGCCGCCGTCGTCGCTGTCGTCGTCGTCCTCGTCGTCGTCCTCGTCGTCACCCGGACGTCCTTCCCGCTCTCGCACGGCAGGGCTATCACCACGGTGGCGTGCCAGAGGCGCACCATGCGAGAAGGCGACGGGGCGAGGGAACCCCTGGGCAGTCTAAAGCCGAACCTACTGGGCGCGAGCGGTCCGCAACCAGACCATCTCTCGGTCCTGTGGACTCTCGCCCTGGGCCGTCGGCTGTCCGGCGCGCTGCTCCCTCGGCCGACGTCGCCCAGGGCGTGATCCTGGACTGCGGCCGCCACGAGGTCGGGAGCGGCAAGAAGGAGGACGACGACTGGTGGCTGGAGCTCTATGTGCTGCTCTCGCGCGCCACGCGCCACGAGGACCTCCTGCTCATGCGGGCGCCGCGCATCGAGTTCTTCCTGGCGGGGCCGCCGGAGGGCTTGCGGAAGCAGCTGGAGCAGTTTGCGGCGCGCGCGAAGCGGTGCAGGAGGGAGGCGACGGCCCTAGCCAGGGAGCTCGGCTTCACCGAGTTTATCCGCGAGGCCTGACCTGAGGAGCGCCCCGCCCGAGCCGCGCCTTCTCTCGACTGTCCAACTACTTGCTTGGCCTCGCGCCGCGGACGACCCGCGCGCGTCGCTGGGACCCTCTCGGGGCGACTGGCGCGCGTCGTGGGAACTCCGCGCTGCGCCCTGCCCAGCGCCTCGCTCGCCCGTCGTCGCTCTGCCCAGCCGCCAGAGCCTTGCCCACTATCAGCCAGCCAGCTAGCTCTCTTTGCTCCGCGCAGCGGACGACCCGCGCGAGTCGCTGGGACCCCTCCAGGGCGACCTGCGCGCGTCGCGGGGACTCCGCGCTGCGCTGCGCTCGCAGCGTTGGACTTTGGAGTGCGCGGGCAAAGAAGGAAAACATTATCCTGGCGAGGGACCCAACCATGTGCAGTTGTGAGTGACGCAGTTGTGGGTATCGACCTCGGTGAACCTCTCTGGGGTCACGACCCGTGTGACGGGTGTGCCAAAATTGGCACGGGTTCGCAATGCGGACGCTGCCACCAGAGCCGTCGGTGGAGCACCCTATGGGGCCGCGGAGCGTGCGAGGGGTGCGCCGAAATGCGGGGTGGAATTGGATACGGACCCTGCCAGTGGGGCCTTCGGCGGAGCACCCTATAGGGCCACGAAACTTGTGAGGGGTGTGCCGGAATGGGGGGGTGGAACCGCATGCAAACGCAGCACTGTGGCCTTCGGTGGAGCTCCCTATGGGGCCACGAAGCGTGTGAGGGGTGTGCCGAAATGGGGGTGGAACTGCATGCGGGCGAGCCCCTGGGCCTTCGGTGGAGCACCCTATGGGGCCACGAAGCGTTCGAGGGGTGCGCCAAAATTGATGTGGAACTGCATGCGGGCCCTGCCACTGGGGCCTTCGGCGGAGCACCCTATAGGGCCACGAAACGTGTGAGAGGTGCCCCGGAAATGGGGATGGAACTGCATGCGGACCGTGCCAGTGGGGCTTTCGGCGGAGCACCCTGCGGGGCCACGAAACGTGTGAGAGGTGCGCCGAAATGGAAGTGGAACTGCATGCGGACCCTGCCACTGGGGCCTTGGGTGGAACACCCTATGGGGCCGCGAAACGTCTGAGGGGTGTGCCGAAATTGGGGTGGAACTGCATGCGGACCCTGCCACAGGGGGCCTTCGGTGAAACACCATAAAGGGCCACGAAACGTCCGAGGGGTGCGCCACAATGGGGGTGGAACTGCATGCGGACCCTGCCACAAGGAGCTTTCGGTGAAGCACCCTATAGGGCCACGGAACATGTGAGGGGTGCGCCGAAATGGGGGTGGAACTGCATGCGGACCCTGCTACTGGGGCCTTCGGCGGAACACCCTATGGGGCCACGAAAAGTGTGAGGGGTGTGCCGAAATGGGGGTGGAACTGCATGCGGACCCTACCACTGGGGCCTTCGGCGGAGCACCCTATGGGGCCACGAAGCGTCCGATGGGGTGCGCCACAATGGGGGTGGAACTGCGTGCGGACCCTGCAACCGAAGCCTTCGGCGGAACACCCTATAGGGCCACGAAACGTGTGAGAGGTGCGCCGGAATGGGGGTGGAACTGCATGCGGACCCTGCCACTGGGGCCTTCGGCGGAACACCCTATAGGGGCCAAGAAACGTGTGAGGGGTGCGCCGACATGGAAGTGGAACTGCATGCGGACCCTGCCACTGGGGCCTTGGGTGGAGCACCCTATGGGGCCGCGAAACGTGTGAGACGCGCGCCGACATGGAAGTGGAACTGCATGCGGACCCTACCACTGGGGCCTGGGTGGAGCACCTTATGGGGGTCACGAAACGTGTGAGGGGTGCGCCGAAATGGAGGTGGAACTGCATGCGGACCCTGCCACTGGGGCCTTCGGCGGAGCACCCTATGGGGCCACGAAGCGCTGTACTAGGTGGGTGAAACGCAGGGAGGAGGGAGAAGGGGGAGGAGGGAGGAGGAGGAAGGAGGAGGAGTGAACGCGGGGCGCTGTCTTTTCAAAACGAGGACCCAACACCACAGGATGGTTGGGAATAAAGGAAGGAAGCGGGTGCGATCCTCGTGAGGGGCGTGCCGACATGGGCGTCGCGCAGGCGCTGCCGTCGGGGTTCCCGGGGAAGCTCCCTGCGGCGGCCACGCTCGGTGTCACGAGTACTCAGAGTCAGGCATACCCGAACCATTCACATTCATATACATTTACATTAATCGTGGTCATGCTCGCGTTCATTCAAATTTACTCACTCGCACGCAGACTCATTCACACTCAGGCTCCCTCGAAGAACCCACTCGCCCGCGCTCAGTCTCTCGTAATTAGACCTATCGTATTCGTTGGTGTTGTGCCCCCCGCCACACACTTCGGCACGCCCCTCATACGATTCGTGGCCCCATAGGGAGCGCCACCGAAGAAATTCTCAATTGCGGCACGTACACTGCATATGGTTGGGTCCTTCGCCAGGCTTTTTGTTTTTTTGTTTTTGCTCTCCCCCCCCCCTTTCCCCGCCGAGCGCCACCACCATCAGCCAACTCGGGACTGGGAGGGGGCTCCCACTGAAGGGAGGAGGACCGCCGCGCGACACGGAAGAGAGAGAGAGAGAGAGAGAGGAAGAGAGAGAGAGAGAGAGAGGAGGGGAGAGGAAGGAGAGAGGAGAGAGAGAGAGAAAGAGAGAGAGAGAGAGAGAGGGCGGAGGAGGAATTGAGGAGCTTCGCAGGGGGGGCGACTCGCCCCCGAACCCCTCCTCGGCGACCAGGACCCGTGCGAAGCGGCGGCGCGCCCGAGGGGGGCGCGGCAGCGAAGGGGACGGGCCTTTCCCGGCAGGCGGCGGGGCCTCCCGGGAAGGCCCTCCGCCCGCCCTCGCAGGAAGCCCTTCGGCAGCTCCTCCGAGGCCACGGGCGGCCGCTCCAGCCTACAGATAGGGGGCCACATGCGAACCCTACCCCTACCCCCCACGATTTCTGGGGGGGGGGTGGGGTTCACTGCGGTCGATGGCGTCAGGCGATGGCGATGCCGGCTCTCTCCACCTCGTCTCTGTCCAGCCGGTTGAGAATGCCAGTGCACCCAAAGTACACGGCCTCCTTCTTCAGGGCCGCGCGAGCCTTGTTGTCGTCCGGGGGCTGCCAGGCCTCGCCGTCCCGCATGAACCGGAGGATGTGCGTGAAGTTGATCGGGTCGCTCTCGAAGTCCACGCCGCCGCCTTCGGGGCCAGGTGGCGCGGGCTGCTCCGCGGCGGCGGGGCGGGCCTGCCTTCCAGGCTGCGGCCTCTGCGCCGCGGGTGGCGAGGACGGCGCCGACGGTGTGACCTGTGCCTGCGCGAGCAGGAGCGACGGGCGGCGCGACACCTGTGACTACCTACCAGACCACCCCAACCCAACCCGAAGACCCGTCTTTCGGGTTGGGGGGGGGTAAGGCCTCCACATGCGTTTTTTCGATGTCTCCCGACCCCCCCCCCACTGGAAATCGAGGGTAAATCTGAGCCTTCGGGTTGGGTTGGGGTGGTTTGGTGGGCGGCGCGGCACCTGCACCGCCGCCTCTGGCGCGGCCTCCGCTGGCCAGCACCGAGGCTGCTGGGCCCTGGGCGTAGTGCTCCGCGCCCCGCTGCCCGACCACCTGCCGGCCCCGTCGGGCCAGGTGTCCACCGCGGCCTCCGGGGAAACGAGAGGTACGAAGGGGCCCCAAGGACACACAAGTAAATACACACAGATAAGAATAGTCCCTCTATTTTCGCATATGTTCTGGGTTTCTGTCTTCCCCACCACTTCCCATATTTTCCCATGTTTTCTGGGGGATCGACGATTAATTGTGTCTGTGTGTTTTTTTCCCCTCCTGAAGGTACCCATATCGCTGCTCCACGGACCTCTCCAAGGGTGCGCTCTGGCCAGAACCTCGAGGACAATCGAACCGCGGCGACCAGGGCTCTTCAGGGCGATCAGCGGTACCGGTACACGTCGCTCATTTCTCATCGCGCTCATCTCTGATTGTGCTCGTTTCTAAGTGTTCCTGGCCCCCCGGTGGCCAGGAAGAGGCCCAGGAGAGAACAATCAGAAATGAACGGCTCCTGGCCCCCCAAAAAATCAAGGAACCTTCGAAGAGTTACAGGGGAACAAAAAGTGGCATAAACATAAAAACTCGGAGGTCCGCGCGGATTTCTCGGATCGGCGCTGGGTCCCCCCGGCGGCGCCTCCGGCGCCGCCCCTGGCGCGCTCCGCGCGCCAGGGAGGGGGGTCCAGCGCCGGTCCGAGAAATCCGCGCGGACCTCCGAGTTTTTCTGTTTATGCCACTTCCTGCTCCCCTCAAGATACAAGTGAACCATCTGCAGCTCCTCCTCCCCCGGAGACCAAACATCAGAAATGAACGGCTCCTGGCCCCCCAAAAAATCAAGGAGCCCTCGAAGAGCAACGTGCAGCTTCTCCTCCCCTGGGCCTCCACGGCCCTGCGGGCGATGGCGGAGGCCTCCCGGTCCGCGTCCGCGGCGCTGCAGCGGCCGTCCTCCGACCCCACCGCGGAGGCGGCGCGCAGGTGCGACACCGCGCGGCTCGCGCCGCCCGCCGCCGAGGCGCAGGGGCTGCCTGCGGAGGCCGCCGACCCCGGGGAACGCCGCTTCTAACCTTCTGTCGGGCCTGTCCCCCTAAGCAGGGGGATTTTCGACGAAACATAAAGAATACCCCAAAAAATGCCCTACACGGGTAACAGAAATACCCCCTAAAATAGTCCCCAGACTATTGTTGGACTATTTCTTGATTTTTCGTGGGGTATTTTCTAATTCGTCGTCGAAAATCCCTTTGTAAGGGGGACAGGCCCGACTGAATTCTAACCCACGCCTGTCCCCACCGGCGTGGCCTGGGCCCCCTCGGCCGATGCACCCCCCCGGGGATAGGGGGGATGCAGGCTGTTCCCTTCGAGCTGCATCCCCAACGGGGGGTGCTGATACGGTGGGGCTCGGGAGGGGGACGGGGAGGGGGACCGAAGAAGACGAAGACGGCGAAGAAGGAGAAGAAGAAGACGCCGTGGGTCCAAAGAAGGCACGTGGGCGATACTCTCTCTTTTTTTCGGCCTCGTCCGCAGCCTCGAGGTGAGGCAAGGCGGGCAGAAACGAGGAGCGAGAGGGGAAAGGGGAGAGGAGGCACGGATGGGAAGGGGCGAGGAGCGGAGGGAGACGGAGCAGAAGGACCCAAGGGCGGCGGACTGGCGAGGGCCAGGAGCAGCGACGCATCGGCGGGACTGGCTGCAGCTCCGCTGCGCGCCCCCCCCTGGTTGCCGGGCTATGGGGCCGGGGTCAGGTCGGGCATGAACCTAAACCGCCCTAAGTGGCACCTGGAACATTTGCATCTGGCACCTAGAGTTTGTCCGTCTTTGGGCCAATTGGCCTAGACGTAGCACGAACCTGAGCCGATGAGGACTTACCCTCCCCAGGAAGAACACCCCAACGAAAGTAGCCGCATGGCATCGGTTTCAGAATGGAGCCGCGTTGGGCAATATTGAGGCCATAGGTGTCGTCTTTGAGCCATAAGAGATCATCTTGGAATTGGATTGAAACCAACGTGGGGTCATGGGATCATCCTGGGTCATGTCAGGGTCGACTCGGCGTCCGGTGGTGCTCCTGGCCCCATCTTAGCGTCATAAGGGGTTTTATTTGGGTATTGTTGGGGTTCTTGGGGCCACCTTGGGGCCGTCTTGGAGCCACGAAATCGCATTGCACTCGTGCCACGAAATCGCATCGGGGTCATCATGGGGCCCTGATGGGGTCGTCTTGGAAGCATCGCGGGGTCACAGTGGATCGCCTTTTCGTCGTGGGGTCATCCTGGTGTCGCGTTAGGGTCCCGGGGCTATCCCAGGAAGACGGCGTCGCGCGAAGGTCGCCTGGGGATCGCATTGCGACCGCGGGCCGCGACAAACCTCCTGCTCACTATCCTACGTTGCGGAAGGGGGCGCAGCAAAGCAGCGTGATCACAGCCTGGCGGCGCGGGGTCGGTGGTCTGACCCTGGTAACAAAATCGATGTTTGGGAGTGTTGCAGGGCGCGCGGCAACTGTGGGTTGTGCCAAGATGGCTACGTGGCCAGGGGGGGTAAAAGCAGAAGAGACCGAGGAATGATGGACAGCGAGGAGGGCAGGAGGAGGAGGAGGCGGAGGAGGAGGAGCAAGTAGGAGGAAGGGGAGGACACAGAGGACGATTGAATAGATGGAAATACGAGGAGGAGGAGGTGGAGCAGGAGGTGGACCAGAAAGAGGGGCAACAGGGGAACGAGGGGATACAGGAGGGAAGGGGGATAGCGAGGAAGAGAAGGAACCCAACATGATAAGGAGGGGGGGGGAGCAGGAAGAGGCTGAGGAAGAGGAGGCGATGGTAAGTTTTGTTTGCCACTGAGGTACCCAGAGGCTTCCAGAAGTCCCCGGAGGCTTCTAAATTGCCAGAAACGTCAAACCAGTTACAAGCAGCAACCACAACAAAACACTCGCCCCTAGATCCTCGAGCGTCGGGGCCTCGCTGCTGCCTCTGCCGCTGCTGTTATATGCTGCCTCTGCCGCTGCTGCTATCGCCGACGTAGCTGTTGCAGCTTCTGTGTTTCGCCGCTGCTGTTCCTTATGATGCCAGCTTCGCGCTCTGATGCTCGTCGTGGTGTTGCTGCTGTGCCGCCCTCCCGAACAACAACTTGACGGATGTAGGCCATTGGTTCGTGGCGTGTTCTTGGGATCGTTGCGACGTCGCATTGAGGTCATTACGTTTTGGGATCACCTTGACGTCATATGGGAACCATCCGGGAGTCGTTCGGAGGTGATGCATCCAGGACCGAAGAACCCACGTCGGGAACCGATGATTGATCAGTGTTGTTGGAAAAGTTGGGATCGAGCATCGGGGATGCAGCATCAAGGATCGATGTGCAAGGATGGCATATCGCGGATAGAACATCAAGGGTTGAATCGAACATCGCAGATCGAGCATCGAGGGTCGAACCCCACCAGCCCTGTAGGGCGTGAAGTGGTCTAGGGAGTTCACTATTCCTTCTTATAAAATCCCTCTCCCTATCACTTCCCTGGACCCCCTGCAAAGACCATGCAATACCCTGCATAGCCCCCCTGCAAAGACCATGCAAAGACCCCATGCAATACTCTGCAAAGATCCCTGCAAAGACCTCTGCAACACCCTGCACACCGGATCCCTGCAATAACCTGCACAGACCCTGCAATATAACGCGATGGCATTGCAACGCCCTGCAATGACCATGAAAACCCATCAGCCCTCTGGGCGCGGGTCGTTGAACTCTTCCAGCTCCCGAATACATGCAGGTGGCCCGTGCGTGCCCAGGCCCCGAGAGGGCCCCTAGAGGGCCTCAAGAGTTCCCAAGAGGGCTCCAAGAGGGCCCGAGAGGCCCTGGGAGAGCCCCAAGGGGACCCAAAGATGACCCCCACGACGGCCCTAAGAGGCCCCTCCCGACGGATGCTACAACAGGGGGGGTGCGTTGTAGCATCCGTCGGAGGGCCTCTTGCTACTCTCTTGGAGCCCTCTTGGGGGCTTCTGGAGGCGCTGGGAGAGCCCTCGGAGGGGTCCAGAGGGCCCCCAAGAGGGCACCCGACGGATGCTACAACAGAGGGGTGCGTTGTAGTATCCGTTGGGGCCCTCTTGGGGCACTCTTGGGGCCCTCTTGGAGTCCTACTCGGGCGCTCTGAAGGCGCGGGGGGGGGGCCTGCGAAGGGCCTCAAGAGCCCCAAGAGGGCACCCGATGGATGCTACAACAGGGGGGTGCTTTGTAGCATCCGTTGGGGACCCTGTTGGGGCCCTCTGAAGGCCCTCCGAAAGCACACTGGAGGGCCCTGGAGGGCACCGAGGGGTCCGTCTTGGGGCCCCAAGAGTGCAATTCACAGCCCAGAGTCTGCCTCTTCAGAGCCTACTTACGACAGATGGCCCCTAGAGGCCGAGCGTGATATATATATATATATATATATATATATATGCTTCAGGCTCCAAAGGAGCCTCGTGTATGTTAGCCAAGCGTTTCCCGGCGAATCGGGCCCCCTAAGACTCCAGGTTTCAGCAGGCCTTGCTCAGTAGGCCCTCCGTTTCCCTAGCAACAAGTTGTAACATATATTATAAACAGAACAGGTTCAACCGAAACCGTTCTGGCTCAAGACCTTGCAGCGTCTCAGCGACGCTGGATTTCTGGTGTGCGCCCAAGAGACGCAGAGCAGCGAACTGCCCGCTAACAAACAGATCCTGTTCCCCACCATAGTGTGATCAGCATCGCACAGCCACTGCCCCATCATAGACGACCAGTTTTGAGACGAGCCCAACATCTCCTACAGTGATTTCAACATATTGTCAGAAGAGAGAAGAGAGTAGCATCTATCAGGATTGCTATCAGGGCAGTGGTCAGAAGCGGGACCATTGCATGGCAGCGGAGCTATCAAGCTCCACGGACGACGGATTCACGGACATTAGTTTCATCGTGTGAGCCATGACTAAGAACAACGGCACCGATGACATTATACCTAAGTGGAATGGAGATCTCACCACGGTGGACGATTATGAGAGAGACGTCGAGGCCTACATCCGAGGGACGAGGCGAGATGAGAGATATGTGTGCGGCCCACGTCTATGGAGACGACTAGAAGGTCGAGCCCGACAAGCAGCCAAGGACGTGGACTGGGACCGCATGGAGAAAGATGATGGAGCTGCAGAGCTACTACGACATGTTCGAGCGATGCTCGGAGCTCAGCCCATCCAGGATGCAGTCAAGTATCTAGCGAGATGGATCTTCGACTTACGCAGAGATACAGGAGACCCAATGCCGAGTTATATCAGCAGAGACGACGAGGCCTACCACGACGTTGTGAAAGGGTTTGACACCGAGTATTTCAAGAAGCAGCGTACGGCCCGACTCTCCGAGAGATCCAACTTGTGGAACACCCACTACAGTGAGTTGAAGTGGTTTCTTTACAAGATCGAGCATGAGGGCCCAGAAGATGCTGCCGAAGTAGCGAAGGACCTCAACTGGCGTCTCTGGAGTTTTGTCAGCAACGGCCTAGAGGAGATACCCGAGCATCCAGATTTCGGTACCGACTTCAATCAGGAGATTCCTCTGGACCAACTGCGCGGATGGCTACTGCTGCAGAGATCAAGATTGTCCCCGACCGAGCGTGCAGCAGTGATCAGCGCAGTCAAAGGCAACTTCGACTACGACAGCATCGGAAAGCAGTTGCGAGTATCTTGGCCCGACGATGAGTTGACGAATCGCGACAAGAAGCAAGGCAAGGACAACCATCGTCATCGAGAGCGAGGTCGAATCCACGCCGGCTGGGAGGAGAACAGTGAGGACGACGACGACTACAGCTACTACGACGGAGAGCAGTCGGAGGTCTCCTACGAGGATGGCGACGGCGACGAGGACGAGGGAGATCCCGAGGAGCCGCTCTACAGCGCCCAGGAGATCGAGGACGCCGAGACCGCGTTCGCCGCCCAGCAGCGCAGCTTCGAGGAAGCCAGAGACCTCCTTCGACGAGTCAAGACAGCAAGGAAGTTCTACCCCGTGGATGAGAATAAGAAGCGAGAAGGTCGCGGAGGACAGCGCAAGTTTCAAGGGCCCCGGGCTGGATCCCGAGGCTCTGGATCGTCGAGTAAAGGACGGGGCCGAGGGAGCGGACAGCGACGTGACGGACCACCTCGACGAGATGGAGATCGCTCCCAAGGTCGGCTGCCCCGGAAGGGGCCATGTCTGAAGTGCGGAGGCAATCGCGAGACGAAGGATCATCGAGATCGCGCTTCATCGGCCAGCAGCAAAGGAGATCGTGCACGCCCAAAGCGAGGTTTTGGAGCTTTCGTCTTCTTCGGCGCCGAGCAGGATGCCGAGATGGAGGCCAACCTCATTACGAACGAGACGACCCGCATCGAGCTGGAGACTGCGATGCTTTACAAGCCGGTGAGCAAGAACAAGCCGAAGCGGGAGAAGAGGCAGCTCGACAAGACCCAGTATCTTCAGGTGGAGAAATCTATCGAGATGCGGGAGCGAGTTCAACACGTCAAGCTGCCGAGCTGGCCTACACTGGAGAAGCTCGACGACTGGATCCTCATGAGTGTGAAGCAGAGCTCCTCCAAGGGTTTCGGAATCCTGGACATCGGCGCAACCTCCAGCATCATGGGCATAGAGGCCGCCGAGAACCTACGCGACATCATTTACGAGCAGGCGGGCCAGAACATCAAGATGGACGTTAGCCAGAAGAGTACGTTTATATTTGGCGACGGCAACTCCAAGACCTGCACCGGCAAGGCTACCTTTCCTCTCAAGATTGCTGGTGTGGACGGCGAGCTCGAGATTAACATCCTCGACGCCGATGCCCCGCTCTTCATCGGAGTGGATGTTCTGAGCCGCCTGGGAACTGTGATCGACTGCGAGGAACATTCTGTGTACTTCAAGAAGCTCGGACGTCGAGCTGAACTGCTCGTCCTTCCGAGCGGTCATCTTGCACTGCCACTGGTTCGACAAGCCGATTTTGGCTTCGTGGCATCCCTCGAGTAGGGGTCCACGCCCTCGACACCCGAGACTGCTACGGTGCCGGAGGGAAAACATGAAAATGAGCAGCCGATCGGAAGCAAGATTGACGAACCACCTGCATCTGTGCCCCATAAGGTCCCCGACGAGGCCCCAGATCATGGAGCCCTGCAGGCCTCAAGCACCTCATCAGCACTTACGAGTACGGGGACATCATCATTACCTACGCCTACAGGGACACCATCATCCTTTACGTTTACAGGGATATCACCATCACCTACGCCTCCGGGGACATCATCAATAAAAACGTCTGGGACATCATCTGTATCAGCCCCTACGGCCTCAGCTATGACATCATCAGGGTCACCCTGATAGGCTTTCCCAAAGATCCCCGAGTTCCCAGCGCTCCAAACGGAAACGCCACCGTTCTCCAGAGCCATTTGGGCTGCGAACGATCCGAGCTCAGAGCTCCGATTTCGGCAACCAGATTGCCTTCCATATTCGCATGAGCCTCAACCGCGAGACGAAATGCCGCAAAGCAGAGAGCCAGCAAGTGAAGCTGGAGAACGAGGAAATGGACGGCCCCTGGGAGCAGGTGGACGTTCGAGTGCCTCTGGAGGACTCGGGAGCATCGGCGACGTGCCGCTCACCGACGTCGACGAGGCCTACGCTACAACGGATACTGCCGCAGGGGCGACTGATCGCTCACCAGGACACGAAGGGCAACATCTTCTACACGGTCGAGGGCTCGGAGCTGGACCACAGCAAGAAGCGGATGACGGACATCGTCCTACTGGAGCACCTGCCGAATTGGGAGATGTGGTCCAGCAAGCTCCTCCGGCAGTGGACACAGTGCCGCCGCTGGGGGCGGGTCATTCAGAAGGTCTTTCTCAAGACGATCGACCACGTGAACTGGAAGCTGGACAGTCTCGGCCTACCTGTGCAGCTGCTACCAGAGAAGTACCCGACCTGGCCGACGGACCTCGAGAACCGTGCGAAGATCGAGCAGTGTCCGCCGAGCACGAAGGCGAAGCAACGCCCCCAGAAGTCGACAGCCGCGGCCGCGCGCGAGCAGAACCAAGAGCTGCGGGCCACCATCGAGAGAGACCGCAAAGTCCGATTTCTTGACCAAGCTTGCGGAGGTGAGTGCGTTTGCAGCGCTGAGCTCAGAGCAGATCTACGAGCAGCTCAGCATGGTCACGCTGGGCAACCACCTCAGGCCCCTGTGCAAGATGTGGGGGTTGACCCAGTCGGGCAAGAAGGAGGAGGTGGTCGACAAGATCATAGCGTACATCATCGAGCAGCGCGGCTCGTCGGCAGCGACGATCAAGATCAAGATGGAGACCGAGACGAAGAAGACGGAGAAGGCGCCTATGACCGTGTGCCCGGCGCTTCCAGCTCACTACACGCAGATGTGCCAGCACCCGGACTGCAAGCTATGCCGAGGTATCGCGAAGAACGAGCCGATCGTGAAGGTGAAGCCCTACGGGTGGTGCCACCAGGCATGCGCTGCCAGGACGAGGGCCTGAGTGAGGTTCAGGCCGAGAGGTCGCGCTGGCACAGCGACGAGAGCCGGCCGCTGAAAGGTCATCAGCGTCAGGCGATCCGCGCAGCTACTCACATGACGAGATCGGCCATCTTCGGAGCTACGTGCGCCCTCACGACCTTCGGCCGCCTGACGATGGTCGAAGCGTGCACCCACGAGGACTCGAACCTCGGTAAGGTGTGCGACGAGAAGGGCTACCACTACGAGCGTCTCGGCCTGTTCAACGAGAACGACCTCAGCAAGCCGCAGGGTTACCACAAGGCGAAGTTCTTGCTGGACGAGAAGCGCCCGGAGCTCTTCGTCAGCACTCCACCCTGCGGGCCCTGGTCGATAATGCAGAACGTCAACCAGCGCGATGACAGGCAGAGGGAGAACCTTCGCAGGAAGCGCCTCAAGAGCCAGCGGATCTTCGAGAACAACAAGAGGCTCATAGAGCACCAGGTGCTCAACCTGGACGGCTCGGCCCTCGCCGAGCAGCCACACAACAGTCGGTCGTGGCAAAAGACCTGCTGGAAGGACCTCCACAAGATACTCCCCTACGAGGTGATCGTGGACGGCTGCGCCTGCGGACTAAGAGCTCCCGACACAGGCGAGCTCATGAAGAAGCGCTGGAAGTTTCTGACGAACGACAAGAGGATCTGGGTGGCCCTACAGCCGCTACAATGCCGTGGAGGTTACTACCACGAGGAGATTGAGAGCAGCCTGAGGACTGAGGCTTCGGGCTACTACCCCAAGATGCTGCGCCGCCGGATCCTCCGGGCTCTGACTAAGAGCCAGAACCAGAACTACTTCGAGGACGAGGTTGTGAAGTGCCTCTGCATGGCAGCTACCCAGCAGCCACCGACGGAGCCTACGCCTGTGGAGGACGAGCCGTCGATTCCACGACGGCAAGGAGACTCACGACCTCACCAAAGAGACGATCAGTAAGATCGAGAGCTACATCAGGCTGGTGCACACCAACCTTGGACATCTACCTCGAGCTCATCTACTACGATACCTTCGTGACCGTGGTGCTCGCCCAGAGGTGCTACGACTGGCCAAGACATTCAAGTGCGACATCTGCGACGCGCACCGACCACCGACGAAGCGGCCACCAGCCTCATCAGCAGAGCAGCCGCAGAACGGTCACGAGGTTCTCTTCGACGCCTTCTCATGGATCCGTCGCAGCAAGAAGACGAACGTGATGGCGCTGGCGATCCTCGACGCCGGCTCAGACATCCTCTACGTGCGACTGATCGACGAGAAGGAGATCCCGGGTACGACTCGACAAGTTCGTGCCGGCGACCTTCGACATATTTTTGCGACAAAGTGGTTTCCCTGGATGGGACGTCCGAAGGTCATGCGCTACGATCCCGCTGGCAGCGCCATCTCTAACGAGTTCCGCGAGTGGATCGAGAGCCAGGGAGTCTACTGTCTTCCATGCGCGGCCGACGCCCACTGGCAGATCGGCAAGATTGAACGCGCGATCGAAGCCTTCAAGGAGGCCCTCGACGCTTTTGACGAGATGGTCTCAGCTGAAGTACCTACCAGCGAGATGATTGGACTCCAGACAGCTGCCAGGAACGACCTGATCAGGATCGACGGGTTCAGCCCACTGCAGCGCTATGCGGGGCGGACCCCGACGGGGACCACGGTTAACCTGTCCGACGAGCCGAACAACCTGCCCCTCATCAGCGCCGAGCTGCAGGATGGCACCTTCAGCAGGGACGCCCAAGTTCGACGACTGGCGCGGCTGGCTCACATCCAGACCGAAAACTCCGACCGAGTCAAACGGGCGGAGGCAGCGCGCTTCAGGTCCTTCAAGAGGTACGAGACGGGCGACCTGGTCTGCGTCTACAGGAGGATCCCACCAGGAGCCTGGATCAAGAAAGGCCAACCTCGCTCCATGCCTGGGCGAGGCCGTTGGTACGGACCTGGACGAGTACTCTGCCACGAGCCATCGAGCTCGGGACATCGACCTGGTCTACCTGGGACAGTGGTCAACATCACACTGGCTGGACGCCTCTATCGAGTTGCCCCAGAACAGCTTCGACCTGCTACGCCCTCCGAAGAGGCGATGGACTGTCTACGCTCGCGTCGCGAGCAGCCGGGGACGTGGACCTTCGGCGACGTCCAGAAGCTGCTCGACCAGAACGAGGTGATCGACCTTTCGAACGAGTCCCCGCCTACTGGCGAGGACCTTGCCGCTGACGACGGCGAGTCTGTCAGCGCTCGCACCTTCGAGGGCAACGCGAGCGGACCCTGGGCCATTCCTGAGGACGAGGAGCTACCCGTGCCACGAGGAGATCCTCGGAGTTTGGGCCCAGGAGGAGGAGGCGGCGGCGGAGGTGGAGCCATCGAGGCACCCCCAGGACTGGAAGAGCGACCTCTTCCCGGACCGCGACCTCCATGGCGCCTTCGGAAGAAGGGCAATCCCTGGACCGAGGCGGCCGAGGTCCAAGACCCTCTCATACAGCCAGTACAGCCAGAAACACCACCAGGCATTCCACAAGAGGGAGGCCACGAAGCTGGACACCAAGAGGAAGCCGAGCTACCTGCAGAAGGGGAGATCGTCATGGAGGCTCCTCCCGACGACGACCAAGCGGAGCGTCCGTCTCAGCAGCCCATTGCGGTGGACACGGACGACGACCTCGACGAGACTACGGCGCCCGACGTGAACGACAAGCGCCGGCTGCGGTCGCCTGGCTCGACCGAGCCACCTGCCAAGAAGCAGCGGATCAACGTCGCGACCCAGGAGGCCTTCTCCTACTACCTGCAGGAGGGCAACTTCTACGGGGACTACGCCTACAGCGTCCAGCAGTACGACGAGACGAAGGAGGACGACGAGCTCATCGTGCTGGACATCCCCGTCAGCAACGAGCACGCGTTCATGGCCTACATGGACGATCCCAGCAATTTCGTGGCATCACAGGCCCGGAAGGGCCGACTGGAGGTTTCCTTCAAGAAGGCGACGCCGGAGGAAAAGAAGCTGCTACTTGAGGCCCAGCAGAAAGAGTGCACCTCCGTCCTCAGCACGAAGGCTGTCAGGATCCTCAGCCGCAAGGGGATCGACCCGGCGCGCCTGCTGCGCTGCCGCTTCGTGCTGACCTGGAAGAAGGACGAGCAGGGCAACGTGCTCCGAGGCAAGGCCAGATTGGTCGTACTTGGCTTCAGCGACCCCGATCTACTACACCTACGGACAGAATCACCAGTTGCCTCAAGACGTGCACGACAACTTCTACTGGCCATGGCAGCAAGACACAAGTGGAAGCTGGAGAAGGCAGACGCAGTGACAGCCTTCCTCCAGGGCGAGACTGACGAGGAGAAGAGGAAGATCTACGCCGACCCGCCGAAAGATGCTCGTCAGGCATTCGGCATGAAAGATGACGATGTACTACAGTTCCTCAAGCCTATGTACGGGTTCGTACATGCTCCTCGCAAGTGGTGGCTCCATTTCAAGGACACGCTCAGGACGCTGAAGCTGGAGATCGTGCAGTGCGAGCCTTGCGTCTGGGTCATCCGAGACGGCAACAAGATGGTTGGCATGGTCATCCTACACGTCGACGATATGATGATTGCCGGCGATCACAACAACTCGGCCTTTCTCAAGAAGCGTCAGGAGATTCAACAAGCTTTCGAATGGACACCCTGGGAGAGCCGAGCGTTCGTGAAGTGCGCCATCAGCATTCGACAGAACGAGGACTACACCTGCAGCCTCGCACAGGACAGCTACAGCCTGAACGTGGAGCCCATCAAGATACGACGTGGGAGGAAACCCACAGAAGGAGTTTCAGACAAGGAGAGATCAGACCTACGAGGCCGACTTGGTACAGTCGGATGGCGAGCTCAGCAGTCGGCCCCGTGGCTCAGCGCAAAAGTCTCTCTACTTCAAGCGGAGATACCTACGGCCACGGTCTCAACCATCCAGAAGATCAACAAACTTATCCGCACCATGAATGACACCGCCGACGTGGTCATGCTCATCCCGGCCATTGAGCAGATTGCCGTGGTTGGCTGGGGCGATGCAGCCTGGGCCGCCCGTATCACCGGCGAGTCCCAAGGCGGAGAAATCGTTGTTCTGGCCCCCCTGTCCTTCCTGAGTGGCTCGACAGAGACGGTTGCGCCTATCTCTTGGAGATCATGCAAGCTACCAAGAGTGGCCAGAAGCAGTACGAGTGCGGAGGTCCAGATGATGACTGAGCCCCTGGACGAGATCAGTTACGTGCGACTATTTATCTACGAGCTGGAGTGCGGTCAAGTGGACTACACCAACAAGCAGCACGTGAACGACGCCATCTCATCCTGCCCTGGCGTACTGGTCACAGACGGTAAGTCGGGCTATGACGCGATCGAGAAGAGTGAGTCAGCTGGTCTCGGCCTACGTGACAAGCGGACGAGCATCGAGTGCCTGGGCATTCGACAGCAGAAGGAGCAGACGGCCCTCCAGATACGCTGGGTACACAGCGACGCCATGTTAGCCGACGGGTTGACCAAGGATCGTGCAGCCAAGGTCTTGCTGGAGTTCTTCAGATCAGGCCAACGCTGGAGACTCGTGGACGACCCCCTTCACCGCAGTGCCAGGAAGCGCAAGACCGAGGGTATGGACAAGCTCGACCATGGCAAGCCGATATCGGACGATTGCGAGAACGCCATGCTGGAGGCCCTGACCTACTACGCCCGCGACAACCCCGACGAGCAGGAGAGCCCTGCTGGAGATGCAGCCCTGTGGGGCATGATGAAGCCGCTCACGCGCTCTGTGCTTTCTGTGAATTCAGTTGCCAGAGGCAGGTCTCGATGCCGTAACATCGATCTTTAGCTTTTGGGCATGCAATTCACAGCCCAGAGCCTGCCTCTTCAGAGCCTACTTACGACAGATGGCCCCTAGAGGCCGAGCGTGATATATATATATATATATATATATGCTTCAGGCTCCAAAGGAGCCTCGTGTATGTTAGCCAAGCGTTTCCCGGCGAATCGGGCCCCCTAAGACTCCAGGCCCTCCGTTTCCCTAGCAACACGTTGCAACATATATTATAAACAGAACAGGTTCAACCGAAACCGTTCTGGCTCAAGACCTTGCAGCGTCTCAGCGACGCTGGATTTCTGGTGTGCGTCCAAGAGACGCAGAGCAGCGAACTGCCCGCTAACAAATAGATCCTGTTCCCCACCATAGTGTGATCAGCATCGCACAGCCACTGCCCCATCATAGACGACCAGTTTTGAGACGAGCCCAACATCCCCTACAGTGATTTCAACAGATTGTCAGAAGAGAGAAGAGAGTAGCATCTCTCAGGATTGCTATCAGGGCAGTGGTCAGAAGCGGGACCATTGCAAAGAGGGCGCCAAGAGAGCCTCAAGAGGGCCCAACGACCTGTCACGAACAAGGCCTTGTTCGTGACAGGTTGTTGGCTCCTCTTGGAGCCCTGTTGAGGCCCGCCGAGACCGCGCTGGAGGGCCCTTAAGAAAGGCCCAAGACGGCCCCCCGCGGGCCCAAAGGGTACCGCGAGGGGGGCCCAAGGGACAGCCACGTGGGCCTCCTGTGCATGACAAGTTTTGTATATGACCACTCTTGTACATGAGCAGTCTCGTATACGACTTCTGTCATAGATTGCCCCTCAGACCCGACCTTATCAGAACCCAGAGTTGTGAGGATGTCTCAAGCGAAACGGGCCCGACCACTGAAGAATGTTGCGGATGTCTCTGCCAGAAGGCCCCTGGCGAGAATCCCACCAGCCCTCTGGGCACCGGTGGTCTAGAGCATTTCCTCTTCCATCTTCCGGGGAGGGGGTTACGAGGGGTTTCCCCCTCACCCTTTTCTTCGGGTCTGGACAGGGGGGCGGGGACGCGCTGGAGCGCTCCAGATGGCCCAAGATGGCTCCCAGAGGGCATTAGAGAGCCCAAGTTGACATCCAATATTGTTTAAATATAACCCAGGATGGCTCAAGATGGTTTCCAAGGTGCTCCAAAATCCCCAAAGATCGCCCCAATGCGGGTCCAAGGGCCGTTGGGGCTTCCGAAGGACACCCCCAAAGGCCAACATCTTTCCCACGTCCAAGGGTCAGAGGTGTTTGTTTGAATTGTCGCCTTTTCACTTCCGATGGGCTTTCGAAGCCTGAATACGGCTCCGAGATGGCCCGAGATTGCCCAGGAGGGGCCCAAGAGGGTTCCAAGACAGCTCGAAGAGCACCCAAAAACGCCCCAAGAATGCCCCAAGAGGGCCCCAAGAGGTGATTTCGAGGGGCAGGCCAGCTTGCCCCTTCTTCGATCAAGAAAAACTTTGAACACATTGGTTTTGACGAGTCGTTGCTCTTCGGGGGGCATCTCTGGGGCCCCGGATGCTTAAAGATGGCTTCAAAGATGGCGCAAGATGGACCAAGTTGGCCCAAGATGGCCTCCAAGATGCCTCCAAGAGGTCCCCAGGCCGCTTTAAGACGGGTCCAAGTGGCATTGGGGCCTGTCCAGGGCGCCCCCCAAAGGCCCAAATCCTCCCCACACCTAAAGAGAATCAATGAACTTGGCCTTCTCGCCCATTCGCTTTCGATGCCCTCACAAGACCTCAAGATGGCTCCAAGAGGGCCCAAGAGAGACCCAAGAGGGGCCGGGCCCAAGAGGGCTCCAAGACAGCCAAAGGAGCGCCTAAGAGCCCCACAAGAGCGCCCCAAAAGGCGATTGGAGGGGCTGGAGAGAGGCATCGTTAATACCCCCCCTTCGTGTTTGATCAACACATATTTTCCTCGGCAAGGGATCGCGCGGCGAGATCCCCAGAGGTCAGCGGAGCGGTGAAACTAGAGGAATATTTGATCAACACACACTCACATTGACAAACATATAGCTTTGAGAGATGTTGGATTCTCTGTGGGAGGGTGTTGGCCCAAGAGAGCTGCAATATGGGGCCCAAGATGGCCTTAAGACGGCCCCAAGAGCGCCCCATGAGGGCTCCAAGAGGCGATTCTGGGGACTCAATAGGTTTTGATCATCGCCCGCTCCCTCCTCCCCTGTCCATCCCCCTTTTCCTTCGGACGAAAAGCTACCCCCTTATTTGCTCCCACGCTTCTTCTCTGATCACCTCAACTCGCCAGGGCATCGTTTCTGGATGGGCTGCTGGGGGCATGCGAAGCGTCAGTGAATGATTCTTACCACAAGAAGACAGTCAGTACAACTGTTTGCGGAATGCACATGAACACATCATTCGCTATACAAGCACAGTTGTACACACGTCGTGCAATGTATGCTGTGCACTCTGCGTGTGGTACAATCTAGTTATTGTAACATTGTTTGTGCATTGTGCTCATTATGATTTACACGGGGACATCCGTTCGGTGCAATATGCACGATGCACCAGATGCGATGCATTATATGTACTGCAATAGCAATGCTGCTGTACATGTGTGTTTGTTGCGACGTGCGCGGCTGTTTGGATATCTACATATGTATGTGTACGTACATACATACATATACATAAACATGCGTGAGTCTACGACGTTGTGCAATGTGGTACAAACGTTTGGTAAGTAATATTTGCAGTGCCATGAAAGGATTGATGCAGTATGGGTGGTGGGCTTATGCTTCAGTCTGTGTGGCTCCATGGATGGGATTGTGATGTATTTGTGCAGTAGTGCAATATGTGCGCGACCAGAGGCAATTTACCAGCGCTGTGCAATCTATATCCGCAAACAGCGAACAAAGCGCGCAACGAGGCGCCCACGGGCATCCACCAGCTGAACCCCCGACACACCCACCCACCCATCGCGCGAGGCACCTGGCCGGGAGGCCCTGGGAGGCTCCGGGAGGCCCCGGGAGGACGGGCCCCGGGAGGCGCCCCTGAAGCCGGAATTGGTTCCCAGGCCGGGCCCCAAAGCGAAATTGGTTCCGGGGAGGCCCCGGGAGGTGCACTTCAAACCGGAATTGGCTCCCGGGAGGCCCCGGCGCCATGACCTCAAGCTGGAATTGGCTCCCGGGAGGCCCGGGCACCATGACCTCAAGCCGGAATTGGCTCCCGGCAGGCTCTCCCGGGAAGGCGCCCTCATTGGGGACCGGCCGACTCCAATGAGCATGTTGCCGGTTTGGACGATGGCTGCCGGAAATGTCCCGGGAGGGTCTTCCGGGAGGCTTGGTGGGGGGCGGAGTGCCTGTCTAGAAGAGAATCCAGTGAGGCTGATCCCCCCCCCCCCGGGGGGTCAGCCTCGTTGGGGGCGGCCGGACCGCAAGGCCAGAACGATCGACTCTTGCGTTCGGCAGAGAAACCAATGAGGGAATGCCCCCCCCCCCAGGGGGGTCAGCCTCATTGGTTTCTCTGCCGAACGCAACAGTCGATCGTTCTGGCCTTGCGGTCGGGCCGTCCCCAATGAGGCTGACCCCCCCCCGGGGGGGTCAGCCCCATTGGATTCTGTGGGTTTCCCAAGCCATTTCGATGAACTCTTGCTCATTGCGCAAAATCACATAGGTTTGGTTCTTCGCGTGATTATGACGACGGCGTGCCGATGATATGAGCGCGAAGATGACGCCGTGATTCATGATGCAATGATGACGTCGTGGCGATGATGGCGTGATGATGATGACGTGCCGATGACGTGATGATGATGGCGTGATGGCGGCGTGCGATGGATTGGCTGCGATGATGACGTGGCGATGACGAAGGTTGCACTCTGGACCGCGCACATATCACACATGTACATCACATCCAACCGAAGGCACACTATAGGTCGAAACATCACATTACCACCCAGATTGCAGATTATAGCCCACATCATATTCAATGCATAACAAATGTTGCATACCAAAAGCTGCGTCCCATTGCACCGCGTCGATTGCATCCCGCCGTTTGTGCCACATGTGTGTAGACACGCACGCGCATGTAGTATGTGCACCTGCTCAGACGCAGACAATGTGTGTATGTATGTGTATATCGCAACATGTACATATGGACAGCACCGTGTATATTGCACGACATGTAAGAAAACGCGTTGGCTGCATCACGTAGATTGCACCGAACGTATGGTCCCCGTATATAGCAGCACGGACGAATGACACCAACAATTTTGCACCATATAGATCGTGCTACACGCATACTGTATCACATATAGTGCACGACGTGTGTACACATATGTCCATACCTCTGCATGTGTGTGGTGCGCGTCGTATGCGTATTTCCAAACATGTCCTGCTGTGGCCAGAACAACTGATTGACGCTTCGCGTATACCCAACCAGCCCATCCAGAAACGATGCCCAGGCGAGTTGAGGTAATCAAAGAAGCGTGAGAGCAAAGAAGGGGTAGCCGTTATCGTTCGAAGGAAAAGGGGGATGGATGAGGGATGAGGGGGGAGGGAGAAGGAGGAGGCATTGGCGGAAGAGGAGGGGGAGAATGAGGAGGAGGAGGGCGAGCATGAGGGACATATGCCTCTTGGATGCGTTTCGGAGTCTCTAGGGATATCTCTTGGGCATTCCGTGGAGGCCTCTTGGGGCGTCTTGGGGGCCTCTCTTGGCGGCCCTGGGGACCTCTCTAGGCATATTTCTGTGCTTCTGGGGGGGGGGGGGGATCTTGGGGCCTGTTTGGGGCCGCTCAAGGGGCCTCTCATTGTCTTCTTGGGGGCCTCTTGGGCGTTTCTTGAGGCAATTTTGCAGCTCTTTGAGAGGCCGTGGATGCCTTTCTTGGGCCATCTTGGGGGACATCGATCTCGGAAGTGGGAGCCCTCAATCAGCGCTGCCCCTCTTGAGCCTCAAAGTCGCCTCGTGGGGCGCTCTTGGGCGTTCTTGGGGCTGTCTTGGGGCCATATTGGGCCTCTTTTTGGGCCCTCTTAGGCCATCGTGGGGCCATCTTGGGGCTTCAGAACCCCATCGGGAGCGAACAAGCGAGAAGGCACGCGTCATTAATGTTATTTAGCTTCGCAAAAGGGTTAAGGTTTCTCGTGGGCGTCATTGAAAGTCTCCGTTGCCAATTGTTCCCATCTTGGGGCCATCATGGTGTTTCTTGGAGGCATATTGGAGGCCGTCTTGGATACTTTGTGGCCGGATTGCGTCGTATTTACAGCTATTTTGAAGCATCTGGGGTCACCTTGGAGCTCTATTGCGCCAAAAGGCTCCCACAGAGGCCCCCGAAAAGCTAAACACAATCAAACCTGTGTGCGTGTGTGCTCTCAATGTGTGTGTGTGTGTGTTGATCAAAGATAGGGGGTCAATTAGCGCTGCCCGTCTACAGTCCCTAAGATCGCCTCTTGGGGCACTCTTGGGCGTTCCTGGGGCTGTCTCGGAGGCCTCTTGGGCCCCTCTTGGGCCTCTCTTAGGCCCTCTTGGAGCCATCTTGAGGTATAGGCTATCGGAAGCGAGCCTGCGAGAAGGCCAAACTCACTGATTAGATCAAGGTTTGGAAAGGATTTGGGCCTCTTGGGGCCACTTGCACCCGTCTTAGAGCGGCATGATCTCTTGGAGGCCATCTTGCGCCATCTTTGATGACATCTTGAAGCATATGGGGCCATCTTGGAGCCGCCTTGGGCCAAACGCCTCCCAAAGATACCTCCGAAAAACAAGCATCTTTAAAGCCAACGTGGTGTTAAAGTATGTTACTCACACAACGGGGATAATTTGCCCTTCGGCCCGAAAGCCCCTTATAATCGCCTCTTGGGGCCCTCTTAGGCTTTTAGGGCGCTCTTGGAGCTGTCTTGGAGCCCTCCTGGGCCTTGGGCCATCTTGGAACCGTCTTGAGGCTTCGCGGAAGCGACAAGGCGAGAAGTCAAACAACACCGATTACATTTAGGTTTGGGAAAGGTTGTGGCCTGTTGGGGGCGTCCTCTGGAGGCCCCAAAGCCATTTGAACCCGTCTGGGGGCGATCTTTTGGCATTTTGAATCATATTGGAAACAATACTGAACCATCTTAACCCACCCTGGATGTCACCCTGGGCTCTCTGAGGCCATCTTGGAGCCATCTTGGGTCATCTTGGACGCTCCAGCGCCTCCCCGCCCCCCCGCCCAGACCCAGGGGGAGAGGGGGAGAGGGAGGGGCAAACCCATCCACAAAGGGGAAAAGGGACGATGGAAGAGCAAACGCTGTAGACCAGCTGCGCCCAGAAGCCTGGTGGGATTCTGGCCAGAGGTCCTCCGGCAGAGACATCCGCAAAATCTGTCAGTGGTCGGGCCTGTTCTAGACCCGATGGGGCCATCTAGAATAGTAGTCGTATACGAGACGTGTCATATACAAGAGTGGTCGTTTACAAAACTTGTCATGCACGAGAGGCCCACGTGGCTGTCCCTTGGGCCCCCTTGGGGCCTTCTTGGGGCCCGCTGTCGGCCGTTTTGGGGCTCTCTGAGGGCCAGGGCCCTCCAGCGCGGTCTCAGCGGGCCTCAACAGGGCTCCAAGAGGAGCCAAGAGCCTGTCACGAACAAGGTGTTTTGTGACAGGTCGTTTGACCCTGAGGTTCTCTTGGCGTCATCTTGGGGCCCTCCCGGGGCCTTCCAGGGCCTTCCAGTGCGGTTTCGGAGGGCCTCAAGAGGCCCCAAGATGGCCCCCGACGGATGCTACAACGCCCCCTGCGTTGTAGCATCCGTCGGGTGCCTTCTTGGGGCTCTCCTGGGGCAGTCTTGGGGCCCCATCGGGGCCGTCTGCGGGCTCCCCCCGCGCCTTCAGAGCGCCCCAGTAGGACTCCCAGAGGGCCCCAAGATTGCTCCAAAAAGGGCACCCAACGGATGCCACAACGCACCCCCCCGGTTCTAAAGTCCGTCGGGTGTCTTTTTGGGGCCCTCTTGGGCCCCTTCCGAGGCTCTCTTGGACCCCTCCGCGGGCTCCACCACCGCCTCCAGAGGCCCCCAAGAGGGCCCCAAGAGGCCCCCCAACGGATGCTACAACGCACACGAACGCGCACCCCAGTTGTAGCATCCGTCGGGGGGGCCTCTTGGGACCCTCGTGGGGGTCATCGTGGGGTCCTCTTGGGGCTCTCCCAGAGCCTCTCGGGCCCTCTTGGAGTCCTCTTGGTCACTCTTGAGGCCCTTTGGGGGGGCCATTTTCGGGGCTTGGCCACGCACGTGAGGTGCCACGACGACCCACGCCCGGAGGGCTTGTGGGATTGCAGGGTCATTGCAGGGCATTGCACTGTCATTGCAGGGCATTCAAGGGTCTTTGCAGGGTATTGCAGGGTCTGGTTTGCAGGGTATTGCAGAGGGTCTTTGCAGGATCTTTCCAAGGTATTGCAGTGGCCTTTGAAGGGGCTTTGCGGGGGGGCTTCGCAGGGTATTGCAGGGTCTTCGCAGCAAGGTCTAGGGGAGAAGGTAGGGGGAGAGGTTGTTTAAGAAGAAAGAAAGGTGAGCTCCCTAACTAGACCACCTCACGTTCTACAGGGCTGGTGGCATTCGACCCTCGATGCTCGATCTGCGATGCTCGTTCCTCGATCTTCGACCCGTGATGTTCAATCCGCAATGTTCGATCCTTGCACCTCGGTCGTCGACCCGCGATGCCGATCCGCGATGCTCCATCCCCGATGCTATCCTGTATATTGCTCTGCAGCCGTCAATCCTCGAAGCCCGATGTGGGTTCTTCGGTCCTCGATGCACCACCTCCGAAAGACCCCCATATGGTTCCAATCTGACCTCGAGGTGATCCCAAAACGTAGCGACCTCAATGCGGCGTCGCAACGATCCCAAGAACACCCCATGGACCAACGCCTACTTGCATCAAGTTGGTTTGTTCGGGGGGGTGGTACATCAGCACCAGCGGCAACAAGAGGAGCATCCGAGCGCGAAGCCAGCATCATAAGAAACAGCAGTGGCGAAGAGAGCAGCTGAGACAACTGCAACAGCAGCGGCAGAGGCACTATCTAGCAACAGCGGCAGAGGCATCATCGACACCCAGACGCTCGAGGATCGGGGGTCGAATGATTTGTTATGTTTTGATTGTTGTCGGTACATTGCCTTGCGTTTCTGGCAAGTTACGGGCCTCCGGGGGGCTCATGAGGCCGCTGAGTACCTCGGGGGCAAGCAACGACTTGCCAACTTGGCCTCGTCCTCAGCCTCTTCATGCTCCTCTACTCCTTCAAGTCTTCCGTTTCCTATTCGTCCTCCTCGTTATCATCCTTCCCTCCTCTAACCCCTCTTTCCCCTGTTGCCCCTCCTCCTGGTCCACTTCCTGCCCCGCCCCCTCCTCCTTCTAGTGTATCCATATGCACTGTCGTCCTCCGTGTCCTTCTCCCTTTCCTCCTAGTTGCTCCTCCTCCTCCTCCGCCTCCTCCTCGCCCTCCTGGCTGCCCATCCTTCCTAGGTCCCTTTTTCTCTTGCCCCGCCCCTTAGCCACGCGGCCATCTTGGCACTACCCACGGGCGCCGAACGCCCTGCGACCCTCACAAGCATCGATGTTGTCACCAAGGTCAGAACACCGACCCCGCGTCGCCAGCCGGTGATCACGCTGGTTGGCTGCCCCCCCCCCCCCCCCACACACCCCGCGTAGGATGGTGAGCAGGAGGGGGTTCGTCGCGGCTCGCGATCGCAACGCGATCCCAAGGCGACCCTCACGTGACACCGCGGTCCTGAGGTGGCCCCTGGACCCTAACGCGACACTAAGATGACCCCATGACAAAATCGCGATCCACCGTGACCCCGCGATGGTTCCAAGACGACCCCAACGGGGCCCTACGATGACCCCAACTTCGTGGCCCAAGTGTAGTTCCCGAGCGAATCCGTGAATCCAAGATGATCCCAAGGTGGCCCATGCGAACCCTGACATGACCCCAAGAAAAGCCCTTGTGGCGCTAAGACGGAGCCAGAAGCACCGCGTGACGCCGAATCGACCCCGAGATCGTCCAACGATTCAAATATGACACCTATGGCCCCAATATGACCCAATGCGAATCCAATCTGGAAACAATACAGCAATACCATGCGGCTACTCACGTCGAGTATTCCTTCCAGGGGAAGGTAAGTCCCCATCGGCTCAGGGCCGCGCTACGTCGAGGCCAGTTGGCCCGAATACGGACGAGTTCTAGGTGCCAGGTTCAAATGTTCTAGGTGCCACTTAGGGCGGTTTAGGCATGCATGTCCTCCTACAGGCGGATTTCGGAAGAGCCATGAGAAATGGTCCAAGGGTGCTCAGACGTGGTCAAGACGGGCCGAACAAAGATCGCCCCCTGACCATCTTTCGACTGTGCTCTTCAATTCTCGGGGATGGACAGACCCCCGTTCAGTAAAACGTGGTTTAATGAAAACGACCTGAGGCCCAAACCTGGCGGGCGCAAGCCTGGCAAATAACGGCCACGGCGCCCTCTCGAGAACCGGAAACGGACAATTCACCCATCGACGTGTCACTGGTGGGGGTTCTGCCCACCGCCGAAATTCTGCCTCCTGTGGAGGGACATGCCCGACTTACGGAGAGGGATCGGTTCAACGGTGCCCGCCCAGGAATGGCTGCGGCGCCGGCTGCGCGAGGGACGGCGAGGCGGCGCCGCGGACGCCCTCCGGCGGCCGCGGGCTCGGCGCGGCGGGCCGGCGGAGCCTCGTGCCGCCCCCGGCGGCCAGGCGCGCCTGGTCCTGAGCCGCGAGGGGGTGCCGGCCCGGCGCGGAGGTGCGCAGCCGACGGCTGCCTCGCGGCTGCCAAGGGCGCCCGCGGTGTGCACGGCGTCTTGCGTCGCCCGTTTCCACGGCGCGCAGGCGCACCACACCTGACACACGCCTGGCACACGCCTGGCACGCACCTGGCACACACACACACCCACACACACACACACCCACACACCCACACACCCACACACCCACACACCCACACACCCACACACCCACCCACCCACACACCCACACACCCACACACCCACACACACACACACGCACACACGCACACACACACACGCACATACGCACACACACACACACACTCGCATCCACACACACACGCATCCACACACACACACGCATCCACACGTAGCACGCCGGCCACGCACCCAATCCGCACGCAATTCGCACACAGCACGCACACAGCGCACAGCACACGCACACACAGCAGATCACTAATGTAGCGCACCCCGTACACACACCACACACACACACGCATCCTGCACGTGTGCTTGTAGGAGCCTGGGTGCGCCCGGCTCATTTGTTAAAAAAAACGCCAGGGTTGTTTTATCCGTTTTCAGAGTCGACGTTTCTTTTGCCCCTTTAGGGGTATGTCTTTTTCCCATTGTGGGATTCTCCTTCGCGCCGTTTTTGGTTCGGCTCCGTGCTGAACTACCGTCTGTCCTGTGTGTGTTGGGCCGCCGTCGCTGCGTTCCGCTCGCAGTGGCCCAAAACCGCTCAAGAATCGGAAGCGCAACAAAAGAGCCCCCCGGCGCTGTTTTCGGCGGTGGACAAACCTCCCTTTAGTAAACCTCCCTTTAGTGAAAATGGCCGGGGCCCAGGACCGAAACCGACGAACCTGGACCCGCAAAAACGACGGCCGCGACGCCCTCTCGCGAGCCGAAAACGGCAAATTCGCTAATCGACGTGTCAGGGCAGGAGGTCGATCAACCTCCGATGTTTTTAACATAAGCTCGGGCTGGGCGAAAGGGGGGGATTGCAAAGGAAGGAGTTGAGAATCAGCTCACGTAGCTGACTTTCCCGGCGCCTCCTGGCGCCGGGAAGCGCCCATGTATCGAGGCATGGGCCCGGCGGCGGGGCCGAAACCAGCTGCATGCAGCAGATCTCGTACCCCACCCTTTCCCTATCCCCCCCTTTCCTTCGGCCCGATATGATGGGCGTGTTTTTCACCACCACCACCGTAAGTTGGAGGGGGAGGGGGCTCTCCTCCTCCTCCACCTCCTCCTCCTCCTCCTCCTCCTCCTCCTCCTCCTCCTCCTCGTCCTCCACCTCCTCCCTCCCTCCAACTCATGGTGATGGTGGTGGAAAGCAGGCCCATCACGATACGCCGAGAGGTCCTCGGCAAGCTTCTGCTTGAGCGCCTCCAGGGAGCTCAGCCCCGCGGCCATCGCGCCCGCGCCCTCCCCCCCTGCTGGAGGGTCGGGGTAGATGGGGTCGGAGGATTTCGCCGCATCGGCGATACATCGGCGATGCATCAGCGATGCATCGGCGATGCATCGGCGATGCACCGACGATGCATCGCCGACGTCGGCGACGCATCGGCGACGTCGGCGTGGAGACAATCGGGCTCCGCATCGAGCCGCACCGGCGATGTGTCGCCGATGCGGCGCGATCCTCCGACCCCGTCTACAGTCATCGGCCTGCCCTAAGGAACGATAAATAAGGAACGAAGCCCCTTATTTCCAAGGAGTAACGCATAGGGAACGATAGATAAAACATGCGAACCTAAGGAACGACCGAGCCCCTTTTGACTAGTAAGTGTTCCTTATTCAGGCCGCTCACTGTACTCCGACCCCATCGAGGAGGCCTGGACCTGCGAGCAGCGCGCGGCGGGGGCCGGCGGCCGGGCCGGCGCTGCCCCGGGGGGGGGGCGGCCCGCGGCGCGCGCCGAGGCCCCGCGACGCCCGCAAGGGAGGCCCTGCGCCCGCACACGCCCGCCGCAGAGCCGGGTGCCCCCGAGGCCGCCGAGGAGGCGCCCGCTGCCCGTGCAGCGCTTCCTGCCCGAGCAGGGGAGCCCACAGAGGATGTGCGCGCCCAGCTATGTTGAAGGGGCCCTGAGACACACAAATTATCCCAGTGCAACCCTACCTAGGAGTTGGAGCATTTAGGAAAGCAACATCTACATCTGCACCGACAGCTACATTTACATCTACACCTACATCTATGATATGCTATGCTATGCTGCGGTATGCTATGCTATGATATGCTATGCTATGCTATGCTCTGCTGAGCTATGCTATGCTATGTTATGGCTATGCTGAGCTGCGCTGCTCTAAGCTAAGATAAGCTGAGCTATGCTAAGCTAAACAAAGCTAAGCTAAGCTAAGCTCGGCTAAGCTAAGCTAAGCCAACCTAAGCTAACCTAAGCTACGATGAGATAAGCTAAGCTAAGCTAAGCTAAGCTAAGCTAACATACGATGAGACAAGCTAAACTAAGCTCAGAGGAGATAAACTAAGCTACGAGGAGATAAGCTAAGCCAAGCTAAGTTAAGCTAGGCTCAGCTAAGCTAAGCTCAGCTAAGATAAGTTAAGCTAAGCTTAGCTGAGCTAAGCTAAGCTTAGCTGAGCTAGGCTAGGCTAGGCGACGCTCAGCTATGCGAAGCTAAGCTAAGCTTAGCTGAGCTAAGCTAAACTAAGGTAAGGTAAGCTAAGCCAGGGGATCCCAGGGGGCGCAACTGGGGGAACCGCGGGGCGGGAACTGGGGGAACCGCCAGGGGCGTTTTACACTGCCTGGCCCCTTTAAGCAAACAAAGTAAGAACCCTCTAGGCAGAGCCTAGGTAGGGAATATGGACACACAAGTAAAAGGATTCCCCATATTTTCCCATATTCTCTAGGTTTTTGTTTCCCCCCCCCCACTTCCCATATTTTCCCATCTTTTCCTGGGAGTCGACGATTAATTGTGTCTGTGTGTTTTCTCCGCTCCTGATATCTACAGGAGCACACGGCCCCTCGATCCGCGAGACCGGGGCCGCGTTGTACGAGCGTTTGCGCGGTGCGTGCCCCCGAGACCGGCGTGGATTCATGCACGTGTACGTCCTTCTTTCGCTCCTGATGAACACATGGGAGCCGAGCCGGATAGATACGGCGAGCATCACAAAGCGACTCGGGGGCAGGTCGTCGACTGAGAACGAAACATGTGTCGATCACGAAGACACTCAACAGGCAGCGCCGCAACTCTTACTCGGACCGCGGGAAAGACACGTCCATCGGTCGTGAGAAGTGGGCAGACACGTGGAGTACAGCGGCGGGCAGTCAACAAGGAACCTTCCACAAGAAACCCAAGCCTGAGACCCCAGGACGTCCCTCGGTGTTTGGCGTGGCACCGCCACGCTTTCCCCATAGCAGAACCATCGAAACCCAAGAAACCCAGGGCACCCTAGAGGCGAGCAGGGTGTTTCTTGGCATGGGCCTTCACTGTATTGGATCCCCGCCCGCCCCCGAAGAGAGGGGAAGAGGGAACACCGCTTGACACCGGAAACAGGAAGGCGCCCAAAGTATATTGGAATCCGGGGGTCCAGAGATACCTACTTTCAGCAACCGATGGGTACCCGTCCAAAAAGCCTACACGACGGCCCCAGGAGGCCGCCAGTACAGCCCAAGAGGCCCCTTAGACGCCCTGGAAGCCCCCGAGAGGCCCTCCGGTGGCCATGAGGACCTCAAATATACTCCCGAGATGGCCTGAAAGGCCCCTTTGACGCCAACGTGCCGCCAACAGACGCACAGGAGCAATTCGCATCCCCGAGACGCCCCCAAGAGCCCGCGAGGACCGCCAATACTGCAAATGAGGAGCCCCGAATGCTCCCGTGAGGGTGACGCCAGCGGCCCCCCTGAAACCGAACACGAGCCCACAACCTCGAGAAAGCCGCAAGACTGCCTAAGATTCCCCCTTGCCAGCAGTCGTGGAAACGTGAGACTCGGGTTCTGGGGACTGCGGTTGGCCCGACGGGGCCATCAGGAAAATGACGAGACCCGATCTGAAATTTGACGCGAGCTCCCGCTGCAAACATCCCACGAACACTGGACTGTCAGAACTCGGGAACGGGCCGATCAAAAGGCGTCGGCAGATCCGAGTTCTGGCGAACTAGAATCTTACGCCTCCCCGAAGCGGACGCCCGAAATAGGTACGGAAAACTTGGGTACGATGCCCTAGAACAAAATGTTGTCCAACACCGACAGCGGCCGCTGTTGGGCAAGCGGCCCTCCGTCTCCAGTCTCCAATGGACAACGTCTGCGGCGGCGCGGACAGCGAGTCCTGTTCAGAATGAACCGGAACTGCTGTCGAGTATCGTATTCGTTCTTTCCGTGCGCATTTCGCTCGTGCTGAAGAGCGTCAGATGGGGGCCCTTCGAGAGGCCGGCGAGAGCCTTGGGCACTGGTACACAGCGAGGCTCTGGCTACGTTGTGGGGCTCGTTTTTCCTGTTACTTGTCCTCGAGATCAGCATTGTGCTGCTTTGGGAGCCGCGCATATGCATCTATATATATATATATATATATATATATGTGTGTGTGCGCACGAAGCCAGCTGGGCCCTGTTTCCTGGGGTTTCGCAGGAACGTCACAGAACATCGTATCGTGTACACTTGTCTGCCCAGTTCTCCGGGCGACAGGTGTCGAAAACACTCTGTATACATGCACGTGTACATACATTATATATACACATGTGTATTAGCATATCTATATACACATATACATACATGTGTTAAACATACACACGCTGTGTGCTGGGCCGCCATTTGCAACTAAGAAATGCACAAGCACACCCTAGTACTCCTCTTGGCCCCGACGCCTCCCGAGCATGCGGGGCGGGCCTCTTCCTTCCTCCGTGCACGCCCGCCCTCGGCCTCGGCCCCGGCCGTGGGTGCACCTCGAGGCGCCTCCGGGCCAGCTCGCCCCGGGCCTGCCCATGGGGCCCCCGGACCCACGGACAAATACACGTACTTATGCTGCTCCCATCGTACTTGAGGACCGCATCCCAGAGATGATCTCGAGCACACTGGAAAAGTGTCGAAGGAGTGTCGAAGGAGTGTCGAAACAGTGTCGGACGAGTGCCTCCCAGGGCCCGAGACGTGAAAACCCGCGAGTTTCGGTCTCGAAATTCTTTCTGGTGATCAAGGCTAAGATAGGGTGGAACCTCATAAACATATACGCAAATCCCAGGGTTCCCCATATTTTCCCATACCTTCTGGGTTTTCGTCTTCCCCCCCACTTCCCATACGTGTTCCCAGATGTTCCTCGGAGTCGACGATGAATTGTGTCTGTGTTTTTTCTCCGTCTGTCGCTCGCGCAGGTGCCCCCCCCCCCCGCGCTCTCCACCCGCCCTGCCGATGCTCTGCCACGGCGGACGGGGTCAGGTGACACCCACCGCGCCGAGCCCTGCCTGACCAGACCCCTGGCATGCCAGATCACCAACGTCAGGACTCCTTCACGGCGTCGACCCCCGGAAGTCTCGAGCCGATCCCCAAGACTGGCTCACCATCCCGGGTCGGTCCAGCTTCCGAAGCCCCGCCTCGTTGGAAGGAAGGGGGGTGATAGACGGAATCCGGAAACTTGATTGGAATCGTTGGGTCCTCCTGGTGGCGCTCGTTCTTTCCTGTGCGGGCCATATGTAGGGGAACATAAAGTGACATAAACATAAAAACTCGGAGGTCCGCGCGGATTTCTCGGATCGGCGCTGGACCCCCCTCCCTGGCGCGCTCCGCGCGCCAGGGGCGGCGCCGGAGGCGCCGCCAGGGGGGCCCAACGCCGATCCGAGAAATCCGCGCGGACCTCCGAGTTTGTATATTTATGTCACTTTTTTGTTCCACTACATATGTGTGAGGACCCGGTGCATACCAAGCCCGACGTGCGCGGAGCCCTCCCCGCGCGTGGAAACCGACGCGTGCGGAGAGCCCTGTGCGCGCGTGGAGCCTCGGGTGCGGAAAACCCCACGCGTAGAGCAGCAGCTGCGCCGATTTCTCTGCGTGCGCAGCGCCACACGGCGAGGGCACTGGCTCGGGTTAAGTCGGGCCTGTCCCCCTACAGGCCGATTTTGAACGAAAAATTACAAATGCCCCACAAATACCCCAAAGATGCTCACAAGTGGTCAAAAAAAGTCCCCAGACTATTTTTTGACCATTTTTGAACTTCCCCCCTGTAGAGGGACAGGCCCGACTTCAGGCTAGGGAACCATTTGACCATGGTTCCAGGGTGTATGGAAGCCAGTGGAGCTCCAGTCGTGGCTCGGCCATGGGCATCACGGTCGCCCTCATCAGACGAGGGATCCTCCAAGGTCTGAAGCCTGCCAGGCACGTTCCTGAACCGACGCCCCCGCCGCACCAGTGCAGGACTCTGAGTGCGGAACAGTAGATGTGTGGAGCCCTCTGTGTGCCAACCTGCGCGTGGATCCCCTGTCTGTGGGCCCTGCCGGAGGAAAACGGCGAGAGAAGGTGAGGGGTCATACTTTGGAAACAGCCGAGCGACCCGCGAGCACATCAAACAGAAGTGCAAGGCAAGACAGGTGCGTCTGGACCTGCGTCACCAGAAAATCGCTGGGAAGCGAGGGGTGATATCGGCAAACGGCCTAGAACTAATGGGTCTCGCAGCTCATTCGTGCAAGTCCCGCATGAACCTTTCTGGTGGCCTGCGTCCCTACTCGTTTTGATGTCACTCACATTCCTGGTCTCAGGTCGTGCATGTCCCCCTACAGGCCGATGTTCGAGGAAACATAAAAATAGTCAATCTATATATCTATATATATATATAAGCACAAAAAATGGTCAAACAATACTTTACAAATGGTCCCCAGACTATTTTTTAAAAACTATTTTTGCACATTCCCCCTGCAGAGGGACAGGCCCGACTTAATCCTGGTGCAAAAGGTCACTGCCAGACTGCCTAATCGCCAAACAGGCCTCCGAAGAAGCTCATCGCCTCCCCCACGCCCGCCATGGCCGCCTCCACTGCTCCGGGCGCCGCCTCCGCACCCGCGCTGGCGAAACCTCCCGCTGCGTCCAGAGCCCCCGGCGTGGCCTCAAAAGCGTCGCCAGCAAAGCCTCCCGATGGGCTTGTTTTCCACCGCCACCACCATAAGTTGGAGGGGGAGGGGGAGGGGCTCCTCCTCCTCCTCCTCCTCCTCCTCCTCCTCCTCGTCCTCCTCCTCCTCCTCGTCCTCGTCCTTCTCCTCCTCCTCCTCGTCCTCCTCCTCCTCGTCCTCCACCTCCTTCCCCCTCCAACTTGTGGTGGTGGTGATGGAAAACAGGCCCATCGCCTCCCGCTGCGTCCAATGCTCCGGGAGCGGCCTCAAAAGCGTCGCCCGCAAAGCCTCCCGCTGCGTCCAATGCTCCGGGAGCGGCCTCAAAAGCGTCGCCCGCAAAGCCTCCCGCTGCGTCCAGAGCTCCGGGAGCGGCCTCAAAAGCGTCGCCCGCAAAGCCTCCCGCTGCGTCCAGAGCTCCGGGAGCGGCCTCATAAGCGTCGCTGGCGAAACCTCCCGCTGCGTCCAGAGCTCCGGGAGCGGCCTCATAAGCGTCGCTGGCGAAGCCTCCCGCTGCGTCCAGAGCTCCTGGAGCGGCCTCAAAGGCATCGCTGGCAAAACCTCCCACTGCTTCTCCGGCATCCCCAGCGAAGCCCTCAACTGCTTCCGCGATGCCCGGTGCAGCGTCTCCAATTGCACTCGCGGCCGCACCCACTCCATCGCCAGCCGTGCCGACTGCCTCCGAAAGCGCTTCCCCGGCACCGTCGAAATCCACACCCTCCATCACTCCTCCAGCCCACTCATACGCAGCAGCGAGTTCGTCTGTTGGCAAGAGTTCCTCGACACCTGCCAAAGTGTCGGCACTGGGCACCAGGCTCGTAAAATCCACGCCCGTTTCGAAGACGGAAGGCTGCATCATATCGAGGCTGATGTCGTCGGACATGAAGATGGCAGTGGCTGCGGCAACACCAGCCACCGTGCCCACTGCGAGTGCTGGGCAGAGGAACATCGCTGATGGCGTCTGTGATTTTGCAGGTGGCTTTCCGATCGACTGGGGCCCATCCTTGGAATGTTGAACTTGCTTCGAATTCGCTTCCTCGAAATCAATTCTGAGATAAAGGTACTGGCATGGACCCCCGAATGAATGACTCGGTGTAATAATGGGTGAAGTGCAAGTTGCGGAGCATACGTATATGAAAGCCTACGCATGTAATTGTGTAGAACTGTATGTAAATATAAACGTATATACCTGTCTGTATGTTGTATGTAGATACATGAGCGAGTTTCACGGGCGCTTGCTTGGAACAAAAGCCCACAAACACCTCCAGACACGGGGGGGGGGCGGTAAACTCCCCCCCCCCGCAAGGTTCGAACCCGGCGGGGTAGCCCTCCCCCCTCGGAACCCAGGGGGGGAGAGGGGGTAAAGTCCCCCCACTCCCTCCCTCCCTCCCTCCCCACCTCCCGACGACGACGACGACAGCGGCGGCGCCGACAGCGACGACAACACCGACAACGAGGACGACGGCGACGACGACGGCGACGGCGAAGACGCCGATGACGACGACGACACCGACACCGACGACGACGACGACGACGACGACAACGACGACGACGACGACGACGACGACAACGACGATACGACGACGACGACGACGACGACGACGCCGACGACGACGACGACGACGACGACGACGACGACGACGACGACGACGACGACGATACGACGACGACGACGACGAGCACGATGCCGACGACGCCGACGACGACGCCGAGCACGACGCCGAGCGCGACGCCGAGCACGACGCCGACTCCGGCGCCGTCGCCGACACCGATACCGACGACGACGACGCCGACCACGCCTACGAAGAGCACGACGCCTAGCTCGACGCCGAACACAACGCCGACGCCGACGTCGACGACGACAAGCACCACGCCGACGCTGCCGCCGCCAACGACGACGACGACGACCATGACGACGTCGACGCCGAGCTAGACGTTGACGCCGAGCACGACGCCGAGCACGACGCCAACAACGCCGATGCCGACAACGACGCCGACGCCGACAACGACGCCGACGCCGATGCCGACAACGACGCCGACGCCAGCGCCAACGCCGACGAAGAGCACGACGCCGAGCACGACGCCGACGCCGACGAAGACTCTGAAGACGATGCCGACGCTGGCGACGACGACCACGACGCCGGGCACGACGCCGACCACGAATGCCGAGCGCGGCGCCGACGACGCCGACGCCGACAACGACGCCGACGCTGGCGCCGACGCCGACGCCGACGGCAACGACGACGCTGACGATGACGACGATGCCGAACACGACGCCGAGCATCACGTCGCCAACGCCGACGCCGACAACGACGCCAACGCCGACGCTTACCTCCCCCCCAGGGTTCAAATTGGGGGAAGGGAGAAGGCAGGAAGGCGGCGACGACGACGACGACACGATAGCGGTGGCGCCGACAGCGAAGAAGCATCGACAACGAGGATGACGACGGCGACGACGACGAAGACAACAACGACGATAACGGCGACGACGACGACGGCGACGAGGACGACGACGACGACAAAAACGACGACGCCGACGATGACGACGACGACGACGACGACGCCGATGCCGACATTGATGCCGACGACGCCGACGCAGACGCCGACGCCGACGCCGAGCACAACGCCGACAACGACGCCGAGCACGACGCCGAGCATGACGCCGACGCTGACGTCGACGAAGACGACGACGCCGACGCCGACGCCGATGCCGACGCCGGCGCCGACATTGACGCCCACGCCGACGCCGACGACGACGCCGACGATGACGACGACGACGAGCGCGTCGCCGAGTATGACGCCGAGCACGACGCCGACGTCGACAACGACGCCAACGCCGGCGCCGACGCCGACTCCGCACGATGCCGAGCACGTCGCCGACTACGACGTCGACGACGACGACGACGCCGACGCCGCCACCGACGACGACAAGCACGACGCCGACGCCGGCGACGACGACGACGACGATGCCGAGCTCGACGCCGAGCTCGTCGCCGACGCCGACGCCGACGCCGGCGACGACGACCACGACCACGACGCCGGGCACGACGCCGAGCACGAATGCCGACGACGACGACGACGACGCAGACAACGACGCCGACGCCGGCGCCGCCGCCGCCGACGACGACGACGACGCCGACACCGAGCTCGACGCCGACATCGACGCCGACGCCAGCGACGACGCCGACGACGACGACGATGCCGAGCACGAATGCCGAGCACGGCGCCGACGACGCCGACGCCGACAACGACGCCGACGCCAGCGCCGACGCCGACGCCGCCGCCGCCGCCGCCGACGACGACGACCACGACGACCACGACGACTACGACGCCGACACCGAGATCGACGCCGACACCGAACACGACGCCGGCGACGACGCCGACGACGACGACGACGCCGAGCAATACGCCGAGCACGACGCCGACGCCGCCGACGTCGACAACGACGCCGCCGGCGCCGACGCCGACGCCGACGTCGACGCGCCCCCCCTCTCCGGGTTCGGAACCTGGGGGGGGGGGCGGGGGTTCCCTCACAATTGCACAATATGAATACCATTCTCCTCTCTCCTGATGACGTCCGGAAGATGTGCGGTCCCCCTCCGCGTACTGTATTCCCAGAAGTTTTTTTTTTTTTTTTTTTTTTTTTTTTTTATGGACCCGCTGAAGCGCTGGCCTCAATTTCGGGCTTCCGCTCGTTCCGAATCGTGGTCCCGCTGTAGCGCTGGCCTCATTTCCGCGCTCCCGCCCGTTTCGAATCGTGCTCCCGCTGCAATGCTGGCCTCATTTCCGCGCTTCCGCTCGTTCCGAATCGTGCTCCCGCTTCAGCGCTGGCGTCATTATTTCCAGTGCCATGCCAGGGCATGCAATGTAATGCTATGTGGTGTTCCGCTGTGCGGTGCCATGCCTTCAGCTGCGATGCTAGGATATGCCGTGCTTGACTACGCAGTGCCACGCCATGCTACGTCATGCTACGCGTTGATCTTCAACGCAATGCTATGCCATGTTATGTTATGTGCCGCTGCGCGATGCAATTCTTCATTACGCAACGTCACGCCATGCTATGACACAATACGCTCTGCCGTGCTCTTCTGAGCCCTGCTACGTGCTCTACGATGCATCGCGCATCCTCTCGGGATCATTGCTCTGCTCCGCATCAGACTGTGCGAGTAGAGAGGAGGTTCACGCCATGGTAAAGGATGGGAGGGAGGGGTAGGACGTCAGGTATGACGCGAGCGCACCTAGCTTGCCCCCCCCCCTCCCCACCCCCCTCGGGTTCGATTCGGGGGGGAAACATGTCCCCTCCCCCCCTCCCCCCCCCTTGGGGTTCCGAACCTGGGGGGGGGCCCTACAAGCGATCACAGCAAGCGCTCTTTTACGTATGCTCGAACCACGCGCGCTTAGGTTCTAGCGCAGTCCAAGTCAGCCTCACAGGAACTGATGAGGATGGACATCATCCCCAACGATCACTGTCTGGGAGAGTGCTTCCTGATGGACGCTTCACGAGTCGCTGAATAAGGCTCCAGGAAGTCGCGCAAGGCAGCCACGAGGAGGACCCAGGGCAGCCTAAGGGGGGATACCCGAGAGCCCCTGAGAGCCTGGCAAAGCCATGCTGGGAGTCTCTGTGGATGCCTTTGGTGAACGCTCTTGGACGGCTCTTGGGGGTTTCTGGGGGGTGGGGCCTCTGCGGCTTTTGTTTGTTTGATGCTGGGCGAGGACGGCGGAGGGAGGAAGGAGCGAAGGAGAGATCGAACTGAGGGAGTCCGTAGCCATTTTGGCTCAAGATTGACACCCATGTCGCGGGGCTTCGAGCTCGTGCTTCCCGTGGCTGTGCGGCAGAATTCGAGGTGGGGGCGCCCGGCGCATGCTGCCCCTCCCCTGTGTGGGGGGGGCCGTCCGCTCGTGAGGGGCCCCGCATGGCCCCCGAGTCTCGTTGGTGGGGAACCTGCGGTCTCCCCCGTGGTGCCCCGTGGCCCTGCGGGGCCTCTGGAGCGGGGGGGCACCTTTGATCTGCGGGGCGAGAGCGAACCTCTCCCGCTAAAAGCTAGGCGGGCTACGCACAGCTTTCATTAGGGAGACAGGGCAAACGGGGGGACCCTTCGCCACGGAGATGCAGTGTCGGTCGTGCTTTGCCCCTGCCCCGACGCACGTGCCACGCCGCATCCACAAGGCCGTGTCGGCCTCAGGCGCGCCGCCATGGCAGGACCGCGCCTCCCCGCCGCCCAGGGGACGCGGCGAGGGGTGCAAGCCTGCTGGCGGCGGCGCTCGCGCCCCTCGCGGCCCTGCTCGCGACGCCGGCGGCCCCGCGGGCGGCCCCGCGGGCGGCCCCGCGGGCGGCGACGGCGCCGCGGCCTGGGGCTGGCGCGGCGCCGGGACCAGCCTCTTCACCAAGCAGCCTGCTGGTGGAGACGACGCCCCCACCAAGCTCGACAAGATCATCGGCGCCTCGTTCACGAATGGGCTCCTCGACCCAGCTCCGAGGAGCGGCCCCACAACCTGAGCACAATATGGCCTTTACTTCATCGTTTTGTTTTTGTTGTGGTTGTGGTTGTGGCTGTGGTTGCTGTTGTGGTTGTCCCCGTATCCGAAGAATGGGGTTCCTGTTTCCCATATCCAAAGCATGGGGCTCTTCTTCCCCATATCCAAAGCCGACCCCGGCCTCGACGCCGCGACCGAGCGCAAAAGCGCGCCGAGCGCGCGGCTCTGGTGGCAGAGCGGCGTGCTGGCAGGCCCGTGCGGCAGCAGCTGCGGCGGCTCGAGCACAAGGTGGCCACCCTCGGCGAGAGGCCGGAGCGGCCACGCGACGCGGTGCCGCCCGACCTCGAGGAGCAGTTGCGGGACCCGCCGAGCCGCTGGAGACCGCCGTGGCTGCGAGCACGAGGAGCTGCGGACCGAGAGGGCGGCCTTGGCAAAAGAAGCTGCAGGAGGAGCAGCCGCCGCGGGCGGCGCCGCACCGGTGGCACGGCGGAGCGTGCAGCAGCTCGTCGGGGGGCTGGATGAGCTCCT